TTTCAACAAGACTGCTCTCCAGGCAAGGGATGAACACAAATATGAATCATCTTATCCAGGTAATTAGAACAATTAAATAACTGACCGACTAATACAATGCACTCTTGATGGAAAAGAGTATAGCTGCAATAAATCCTACAAAACAGAAAAAATGCGCAGTTAATCTATGGATGCACCAAAACAGTTGTTCTTATAGCAAGTCGAATAGCTTTGAAGCAGGTGCCTGCAACGATTTATTCTTCCCCATACTCAATAAAACGCCATCCTCGTAGCTGAAAATAAGGGTGCACTTCGCACTCACACACACACACAAAAAAAGGAAGAAAAGCGATCGAATGTAGAATCGTGGATTAGCACAAAAGAATCGCAGGAGCTTCCTCGCTAAAAGTTGATATGGTTGTTCGGTGACGGAGGGCTGAAACAACTTCCCTTAGGCCCTAACGCGACGTATACATTTCACGTAGATTCTCAGATATTTCAACGTTCAAACAAAGCTAAGAGAATGCGAAAATTTCATGTTATAAGCACTCATAGTTCTATCGGTCCTCGGACACATCCCGGAATCCGAGCACCGGTACGGCGATGCAGAGCTGATGCTGTCTCACAGACGTTAATATCCAGATGATCCAGAGCGATCTTGCGCAAAAACGGTATAAAATCTCATTCCTTCATATTTTCACATTATATCTGCGTCAGCGAGCACGAAGAAGCCCGAAGTCGTCGGAAAGCAGCTGCACATCACGGCTACCGCGCACCGAACAAACTCGCATCCGCCAGCTCTGGGCGCTGCCATCTTACCTGTGACGTCACGGCTCTTGGGAGGTCACGTGACGAGTGGTCACATTTGCGTAAAATATGGCGGCAACCGGGGGGGTGCCACTTCCGAACTTCCGGTTTATCACTCTACCTCGTTGGAGTGGGGCTAACCACTGATCTCTATGACAATGGGCTAACGAGACGAGCCAGGTGCCGCTATTTCAAAACGGAACTATCTGCGAAGAATGTAGATTTGGTCATGCAAGCTGCAACGAAGAAGCATGTTTCGGCCGCTGCACCTTTCTCCTCTGGTAGCAGACGACTCTACAAGTTGAACGGGTCTGACTAGTCACGCACTGCTGAAGGGTCCCTTGCCACGTTCATATGCGCTCACTCTGCAATTTTGGCTTCGGATCACCTGGGTGAACTGTGGCGTGGAGTGACAGATTTCTAGTCAAAACAAAAGGAAAGCTTCCTTTCAGATGGGATTGATATGATCTATACTGTTATTATACCTTGGCCGAGAATCAATGCAAAAAAAAATTTAAAAAGTCGCTTTGCGTTGTATTTTGGATTTAGCGGTTTTTTAGCGGTTTTCGGGATTCCGACTGCGGGTTTTCAATTTTTGAGTTGGCAACACTGGTCTCAGCTCGGAGCGTGGAGCGAAAGCTTGCGCTGGGAACCTCCTGGGTTCGACCCCCGCCGCACCCGCCCGTTTCGATCTGGATGAGTTTCGTACCGGCACGCGTTCGTGTGATCACTACTGCGTGATGCACGTTAAAAAACCCAGGTTAGCGGTTGTACCGCACTGGCCAAATTTCTCATCTACAGCTAAGAGACCGATTACCCGTTGAGGCGCATCTCCATCAAGGCTCTACCGGGTGAAACAAGGAGACGGTAGGCTCTTTAAATCGACCGGAAAATTCGGTTTCTTAACCTATCGCGCTACTACTTTGTGCAGCTTTGCCCACAGATGGTGCATTTTTTTCGTAAAATTTGCAAAGAGCGAACTTACCTGAGGAAAAAGTAAAGAAAGAAAAAGGCTTAGCTCCTATGGAAACGCAGCGACGCCACCGGTCTGCAATCAACACGGCGCCGTTTTGCACGGTAGACAAGAGATGGCGCAACGAACGCCGCCAAGGAACGAGCATACGGGCGCCGAGAGCCGGCCGAGGTATTCCTCAAAGGCTCTTTAGCAGACGATCTTTTCGACTCAAAAGCGGCGCGCGTTCCGCAGGCGGTGACAGTCGCAGAAACAAAAAAGACAGGCGCGGTAACAGCAAGGAACTGCAGTTCCTTGTCTGCTAGTTACGCCGGCTCTCGGCGTCGTCTGCTCGTTCGTTGGCGGCAGTTGGCGTCGCGACCGCTTGCGCCATCTCTTGTCTATACCGTGCAAAACGGCGCCGTGTTGATTGCAGACCGGTGGCGTCGCTGCGTTTCCATAGGAGCTAAGCCTTTTTCTTTCTTTACTTTTTCCTCAGGTAAGTCCGCTCTTTGCAAATTTTACGAAAAAAATGCACCACGTGTGGGCAACGCTGCACAAAGTCGTAGCGCGATAGGTTAAGAAACCGAATTTTCCGGTCGATTTAAAGAGCCTACCGTCTCCTTGTTTCACCCGGCATAAACATAAAAAGCAAGCCAATTTTTTTTTTTTTTTTTTTTTTTTGGGGGGGGGGCTCGTTTTTGTTTTCTGCGCACGAGAAAGCAAGTAGCGGTGACGTCAGAACGCCGAGCCCTGATTGGCTGATCGCGACCCCCTATCTGAGCGTCGTCTGCTCCTTTGCAACGTCGTCTGCTCCTTTGCAATGTCGTCTGCGTCTGTCTTACCTTTCCTGCGACTTTCGGAAGTGCAAGTTTTTACGAGCGAGCTCGACTTCGCCTTTCAGAGAGGGCAGACGAAATAACTCAAGCGGTACGTTGTTTTTGTCTAACTACTAGCAGACGCGCATCAAGGAGGGAAGTGAAAGGACTCACTGGCGAGGTGTCCCGAGGCGCCGAGGTTTGTTTGCTAAGAACCGAGAGTGAGCGTGTTAGTGTCCGCAAGTTCCCTCCCAAATACTTGTTCCCTCCTTTCGTGTGCGGCGAGACCCCTCACTCTTTAACGGCGTCGGCGGGTTGGCTCAGTTAACGTCGTCTGCTTTACGTCTGCTAGTCAAAGCGATGGCTGCCTTACCTTTCCTGCTGTCGGAGATTCACCGCTTTTTCACCGGCGAGAGTCACCGTTGCCTCGGGAAACAAGGAGATAACAAGAGGAAGAAATTGACCTCTTAATCTAAAATTGAGGTCAGCGATCAAAGTATAATACGGGAAGGGTTCACAAGGGTCGCGCGGGCACATTCCATTCAGCACGCCAGCTGGTCGTGAGCAGAGAGCTTTTCCCGGGTGTTTGTGGATCCAGCGTTCTTGTTCGTCGTGGTCTGTTTCAAGTACTTTTTACTTTTTCTTGCTGCTTGAAGGAGCGCACGTAGAAAAATAAACGTCCGTGGGTCGTCGCGACCGCGACGCTGTCGGCCATGCTGATTTGATCGTAAGAAGTGCGAAGGACAGCTTCGGATCTGTCGTAGGATTTCGTCGTAACCTGTGCAAAACTTACGAAAATTTCGTTTCGTGAATACGAATTAAGCTTTGTCTTACGCACATTTTTGGCGTAAGATCGTTTCGTGAATCTGGCCTCTGCACTTCCGAAAGTCGCAGGAAAGGTAAGACAGACGCAGACGACGTTGCCAGCAGACGACGTTTCAAAGGAGCAGACGACGCTCAGGTAGGGGGGCGCGATCAGCCAATCAGGGCTCTGCGTTCTGATGTCCCCGCTACCCCCTGCGCAAGAAGCAGACGAACTTGCCCTCCGCATAGATGTTTTAATATATTTTAATAATGCACTAAATGTTCATTTAGGTGAACACATTTTGTCACTAATTATATTTTCCAATTAAAAAATTATTTAGTTAATTAAAATTTTTATATAATTCTTATACATATATAAATGTACCCCAGTAATTAAAAAAATTCCCTATTTGTATAAATCTAAAAATTTAAGTGTTTTTAGTTTTCTTCATTAGCAAAGGTCAATACACCCCCAACTTGTCAAAATTGTTGCCCCGTGTGAACTGGGAACGGGAAAGGCATTTGAAGTCCGACTGGGAATCGCTCCATCCAGTTACTTTCCTAACTGGTCCCAGTTCACTCCATTCCCAACTGGGAGTCAAACCAGTTGACTCCCAACTGGGAATGGTTCAAACCAGTTGACTCCCAACTGGGAATGGTTCAAACCAGTTGACCCCTCAGCTGGTCCCAGTTGGACTCCTATTGATCCCAGTTGGGACCAGTTAGTCCCAGTTGATTCACAGGTGGGACCAGTTAGTCCCAGTTGAAACCAGTTGAGGTGCCAACTGGTCCCAGTTAGAAATTTTCGCCTGGGCCCCGGGGTCACGTGACTATCCTTCCCTACTCCTCCTCAAGAGCTGCTCTCCAATTCGGCGTTACAGGGATTTGTAAACGGCTTTCATTTTTTTACTCTCCTGCGCCTTCGTCGCCACACCCACTGGCCAAACTCTCCCAATATACGGCTCTGATAGTAGTAGCATTGGACCGCGTGTCCAATGCTACTACTATCAAAAAGCGGAAAACTCAGTAGATTCTGTGGTATTATCACTGAATCAGCAGACTTCTGAAAAATATAATTAGATCTACTGATAAAAACGCCGCTTCGCGGCGTCCGACTATTCGCTAAAGTGTCGTTCGATGAAACGTGGGCGTTCGCTAAAACGTCATTCGATCAAGTGAGTGCCTCCCACTGTGGTGCCTCGGTGCCTCCCGATAAATCAGTAGGAGTGGCAACACTGGCCGGAGGGAGCCGAAGTTTCGCTTTTGATTGCCGCTCGTGTTTAAAATTTTCGCGAAGCAAACAGCATAAGCTCAATGAAACCTAGACTCAACCTACCAACTCTAGCATCTCGCCGTAAATTATTTCAACTATGCCCATTTCACAAGCACTTTCATCACCCATACCTACGGCAGCCATCGAAGATCACAATCCTTTCAAGAACGCTTTAGCTATTATTGTATGATTAGGAGCCTCTTATTTGTCTATACTAATAACTGCACAATATTGTACTATCTTATGAAATGTAATCCACTTCCTTGAAGGTAAATAAATAAATAAATAAATAAATAAGAAATTTTTGCTCTCGGTCCCTAGCGGAAAACCAGTCAACGGTGAGCAACAGTCTCCCAACGGTGCAGGATTCAAAAACGTACGCCGCGCTGGCATTGGCCTTGCCTGCAGTCACGCACTGCCCGTCGTGCCCGTGCTATTGTGCTCGTGCGCCCTCGTTCCGCCGTTCGTTGGAGCATTTGGCCGTCGTAGTGGCCGGTCGTTTTTCGGTAAGCCTACCCGAACCGCTTTGGCCATTTTCGCCTTGTTCTGACATGTTTTACACCCTTCATTGTCTGACCGGCACAGCGTTCCATGGAGGGCAAGGCCATCCCGGTCAGGGTGGCAGTACGCTGCCGGCCACTGGTCTGCAAAGAAAAAATCGATGGCTGCCAGTCCTGTGTCCAGTTCGTGCCCGGTGAACAGCAGATTGTGCTTGGCACGGACAAAAGGTTCACTTACGACTACGTGTTCCCCCCCGAGGAGGCTCAAGAAGCCGTCTACACACACGCTGTAGCCAAACTCATTGACAAACTCTTCAAAGGTAGGCGAACTTCCCCGTAACCGTTTCGAAGCGCGCTTTGCTGAGCAGCCGCCCTTTTAGTGAACGTCGTCTTGTCGAGCAATGTTTGACATGCATGTTGATAGTTTGGGGGTGTGGTTTGAGCAAACGACTTCTCACTTGTGACCTTTTCTCCCCTTTGTTTGTGGAGCCATCTCGGTTGCCGTGTGCCACCACTCGCTAAAATATGTTCTTTTGAACATTATTTGTGGCCCGTAACGCCCTTTAATTAGCAAGCATTCCACTTTGTGTGGAAGTGTTTTAGGTGCCATTAATCTTGGGACGAGCCTATTTTGACGGCAGCCTGAGAGGAGGCGGCCTGGCTGTCCGGGCGGAAGTGCCGGCAATTTCCTCCCATTGGCTGGCTCAACCACGTGACTATACTGCTGGCCAGTGTTGCCGTTGGGCGGTTGGTGAAAGTAGCCAAAAGACCGGTCAAAAGGAGCCATTTTATTCGTCTTGGTGCCAAAAATGTTGCCACCATTAATTCAGGGTAAGTTCTTTTAAAGGGCAACTCCAGTCCATGCTTTCGATTTTGGGATTATGACTGTTTTTAGTGCAGTCAGCGTCCCTGATTTGCAAGGTGTAATTTTTTTCTCGTTATTGTGCGTAGTTTTAAAGATATCGACGCCTCAAAGTTTTGTTTGGGGCGCGGCCGACAAAACCGAAACTAGCCGCTCGAGGCCCCGGCAACACTGGAAATCAGCCGCTATGTGAACGTGACGTCAGGATCATTCTCGTTCAATGAGTACGCAGGCCGAGCGGCACCTACCTCTGTTGCGCTAGCCGTCTAAAGATAGGAGGTAAGCTGATTTTGTATTAATTCTGTATACGTGGTAGTTATCCAGCATATGTAGCAAGAGTTAGTGCGTATAGCCAAAAGCTAGCGACTGGAAAACCCGTGAACTCGTACGGTGCCGTACTCGGTGGCCGCCGCCGTGCGTGCTCTATGCCGTACTCGTCGCTTGTATAGACGCTTTGCAGCAGCTGTGCATGGGCACCGCCATAACTGACCTTCAGTTTTTGTTTCCTCTTATTTCATTTTCTTCACTTCATTATTACCATACCAGGCCAGGTTATAGCCATCTTAGATTTTCTTCTGTCTTTCTCCCCAGCATTGGCTTCTGTGGAGCCTCGTCCACACCAATTTCAGTGGCTCGGTATCTCGGTAAAACAAGAGAAGGTCAGCAATGGCGGCTGTATTCTGGCGCGTGTGTAAAGCGTCTATACCCAAAAGCTAGCGACTGGGAAACGAGTAAACTCGTTCGGTGCCGTAGTCGGCGGCTGTCGCCGTGTGTGCGGTCTTCCGTACTCGTCGCTAGGCCTAAATTGTCATCGTGGCTCCGTGGATGGAGCGGCGTTGCTCTATGCCGTGCTGCCAGTGACGCACAGTACCGGGGGCCCTCTCGCTTTCGCACTGCGGGTCAGTCCCAGACACTAAGCTTTGCGGCCTTCCGGCGCGGGCTGCGGCGCCCGAACACACGTGTGCTGGGCTGTACACGTCTGTTTTTTCATTCTTTTTTCCTCGGGCGCGTAAATGCCGAAGACCACAGTCCACTCGTTGAACAGTGTTCACCCACAGCTTCTTCAATTTCCGGTCCGTTGGAAGCTTGTGAAAAAGCACCTCCGGGTTGCGCAGCGGGTTGTTTGAGCAGCCCACAGCACTACAAGTGGCACTCGGCATCTTTCGAGGAACAGCCGGCCAGTCTTGGGGGCACCGAGTTGCTCGCTAAGACGAGTCTTGGAGTCCTCACAGGCAAATAAACAAAAGGCTATATCAAAGCTGCCTGGGCTACAGATAAAAGCAACGGCTAAACACACCTATCACAACCCGAAGTAGCGGTGGTGGCGGCTTAAAGGGCAACTCCGCTCAATTCCGAAAAATTTAGGCTTGCATGTGATTCCATTTCACAAAGCTCTACTAAACAACTCTACGTCTTCGGATTCGCAAAATGTGAAATATTATTTGTGTGATTCTAATTTAAACGCCAGCTGATACCGAAACTTCGGTTGCGTCAGGCAACATTGGTCTCGTGCGGTCAGAGTCATGGGCACGTCACGTCGAACCACGTGGTCTTGTGACGTTCGGGAGGGGGGCGAGGGACAGGACACGTGACGCGTCCAGGTCGCTTCGCGTGGCGTGGACGGTGACGGCCCGGGCGAGAGGGGGAAGGGGAGAGGACGAAAGAGAAAGGGAGCGGAGAAACAGACCGATAAGCGCGCAGGGCAGCGCAAACTCTGGGTTTATGGCAGTGAGCCTTCGAAATGCGGATGAAGAATTAAGAAGCTGTACTTGCATCTGGACTGCCATTTTCTTTAAAAAATAAAAACGGCGTTCGTGAACATTTCTTTTTTTATCTTCAATTGGAAATTCCGATAGCTTCTCGCTGAAGACGTTTCCCAGGTCTGCTGTTTTTGGACTGGGAAAGATAATCTCATATTGACCAAGTCCAAGGATAGCAAGCTTGTCGATGTGTTGTGTCGCAACACTGATGGATCAGCACTAATGGGATCAGAATGTCGCGGTGTTTTTTTTTGGTTTCTGAATGCTTGGGTAGGTACCCATAGTGCGGACGAATCTTGCATTTGCAGAATTTACACTTTGCCGCTGTTCCGTTGTCAGCAGATGGCACCCAGCCTGCAAGAAGTATTGATGAAGAACATATAGGTGAACAACAGCGCGGCATAGACGCAGCGTTAATGTTTTTATGCACAGCATGCCAAAAAAAAAATTTGTAACGAAGCTTACCATTAATCTTGCTGTCTTTTTTCCACTCGTCGCGGAAGCTATCATTTTGAAAGCCAGTAGTAATGCCTTGAAATGATACAGCGAATCATTTCTGGGCCTGTTAGAAAACAAAAGCCAACAACTAAGTTTGCCAAGGAAGACTGATTCTAACGCAGCTGCTGCTTCCGTTTATATTATGTTTGTGGACTTGTGATTGACCGCTCCTTCAGTATCGTGATGACCGGAACATGCCGCGTTTTTTTCTTAAATTTCTTTTAAAGGTATTTGTAATGTCAGATATCATGTCATCTTTCTGACAGAGTATAAACATTCTCTGTACTAAAAATTCGCCAGAATATAAATTAAAAGTAGCCAAAGAAGCCAAGGAGCCAACTTAAAATTTTTGTCACCAGACCGTGCTCAAAAGTAGCCAATTTGGTGCGAAATAGCCACCAACGGCAACACGGCTGCCGGCATACTTTTGCGGGTATCATATAGACCGGGGATGGCCAGTCTGACCCGGCCTAAAAGCCGCAAACAAAACCACGAAACTTTCAAGAGCTGCGGAGGTGGGGGTAGAGGGGACTTCTGTCCAGAGCAATAAACTAACCTTGAACTACTTTCAATCTATCAGAGTCAAAAGCAGTCCAACTGTTTGTATGATAGCAGTAGCACGAGACTACCAAACCGCAACCACCTGTCTTTCGATTTAAAACGCGTTCCATCTCTTTTTGGTAAGTCCTCATGTGACCGGGAGGGAGGGGGGGGTAGGGCTGCGAGTCACACTTTAACACGTGAAGAGGTGCATGCGGCTCGCGAACCGCAGCTTGGCCACCCCTGATATAGACCTTTCCAGCACCAGTCACGAACGAAGCGATTTGCTGTGTGCGTCCCTGGTTTTGAGAGGGTACGTCATTGTTGCCAGACTGCGCTGGGCTGTGGGTTTTCTAGGCAGTGGGCTGTGGCAGCCTGCGTAGGCACACTTCCGGACGCTGGTGGAGGCTAAATTGCCGCATTCTATTTTTTTTATTTTGTGTTCTATGGCGAATAGAATTTCTCGGGGTTTTTAAGAATGCATTGTCAGTGATGTGATTGCTGCGCCAATTGCGCCAAACTGCGCCAAGGGGCTAACCCTGCTACATTTTGCCAAGATATGGGTAATCTGCGCCAAGCTTGCGCCAAAGGACCAATTTTGGTCGCCTTTATAAACCGAAACTAAACTGAGTACCGCAATTGAGCACGCGGTGAGCTAGGTGGCGCAAGCGGCCGCCCGACACAAAGTACCCTGCATCAATCGTTCATCCGGTCTTGCACGGTTTTCCCGTCATGTCTCGTTCCGCGTCCCCATCGTCTCGCGTTTTTAAAATTTTTTATTATTTTTTTTTAACGATAGACGCGGACGTGTGCGGCGCTCCGACGCTAACGTGCTAGTGTACTGGCAGTGTTGCCAATTTAGCGGTTTTCCCGCTAAACTTAGCGGTTTTTGGTTCTGTTTAGCGGGATAAATTATTGTTTTGCGGGTGGCGGGACTTTTAGCCGTTTTTATGTAACCTTGGCGGTTTTTTAGCGATATAGAAGTTATATAGATTTACTGTCAACGATGCACCTTTCATATCCATAAAGACAAGGATAATAAGCCACAGTCGTCTTCGCTTACTCTCAGTAATGTTCTGGTTTGTGAGAGTAACGCCTGTGACGTCATCAGAACATTAAGACGTCGAACATCGGAACATGCCTCCCTGTTTTGTGCGCGCACGTTTGAACTGCATGAATGTTCCAATTTTTCTTTGACGTTTTTGTCACTGTTTCGTGAAATGGGCGCGGTGAAGTACGCTCAAAAATTTAGAAAAGACTGGCTACAAGACCCCTAACTTAAGGACTGGCTACTGGAGGTTCCTGGTGATAGCAGACGAGCCAGGTGCCGCTATTTCAAAACGGAACTGTCTGTGAAGAATGTGGATTTGGTCATGCACGCTGCAACGAAGAAGCATGTTTCGGCCGCTGCGCCTTTCTCCTCTGGTAGCAGACGACTCTACAAGTTGAACGGGGCTAACTAGTCACTCACTGCTGAAGGGTCCCTTGCCATGTTCGTATGCGCTCACTCTGCAATTTTGGCTTGGGATCACCAGGGTGAATTGTGGCGTGGCGTGACAGATTTCCAGCCAAAACAAAGGGAAAGCTTCCTTTCAGATTGCATTGATATGATCTACACTGTTATTATACCTATGTCACGAATTAAAGCAAAAAAAAAAAA